ACTGCTAATGTTGGGAGTACTGATATATTCTGTGCGGATGAGGGAATATGAAAAATGCGTTAATTTCCCTGATTTCTTTCTTTTAAGTGCTGTCGTCTACTGCCACAGTATTTCATTCTTTTTTTTCAGTGGCACGATTGTCCATCTGTGTTCTCTGATAGCATCATCAGGCATCGATATGAGGACGAAGCATTCAGCACTTCATTGTCTTCGAACTCTCTGTGATTTCGATGGCACAGATATCACTGGAGCTATATTCCTTTCCCACATGGATGCTCGAATCATATCACTTGTTGTGCGAACACTGCAGCAAATTTCGGTACCTTTTGATAGATTGTCATTGAACATCGAAATTGTTTATCGACTTTTTCCCCATTTTTTATAAAAAAATCAAAGTATAATGATGCTTTTTTATTTAAGAAAATTGAACAGAATGGAAACAATTCACTTCTGCCCTATGCATTACAAGCAATCGTTTTACTGGACACGCTGGCTGGCATAAATGCAAAGTTCGTTTATCAGTAGCGTTTTGTACCGATTCATTTCATATTGCTTTCACTTAATAAGGCACCTCATCGGTATCTGAGAGTAATAACGTTCAACAAGGGATGGTGATGTTCAAAACAGAACAACTAAATTTTAAGGCAGCTGAAGCCTTGCCAAACATTTTTAGCAAGAGAACCACTGTTCTGCTAATTCTTTTATGAGATGAAGCAAGAGTCTGAATCGCGGTTGGGCTGACCACCAAGGATGGCCAGAGCAACCGGAAAATTTGCCGGCGATGCATTTCAAGAGAAGCAGGCTCATATGCAAATACAGACGAGGGGGGAGGGAGGCAAAGGGTGCCGTAAAAGCCTGGGTCTAAAGCTAAAACTAAAGTAAACTAAAACTTAAAGTAACTCTAAGTAGCAATGTTACAACTCTATTTCTAGTTTTTGCATAGTTCCAGGGCGGGAAGGGGCTATCCTCCTTAACCCCCGTCGTTCCCGTCCTCCCAGGTGTCCGTCCTTGATCACCTATGTACATACCTATGTGCAGACTCTACCCTAGTGCTGACTCAAGTATCAGAGTTAGCAGTGCATCCATTACTTTTTTGAATTGAACGTGTGGTACTTAGTGAAAAAAATCATTTCTTCTAGGCGTACAGAGTGTTTTTTTTTTAAAGTGAATTTAGAAATTCCTCATGTTAATGCTTTTATTAGACATCTTTCTGAGAAGCACTTTCCCATTTCATTAGCACATTGGGTACTGCTAAATTTGCATCAGTCCGTTACTACGTTTTTTTTTACTTTAGCATCTCAAATTACTCAGAATACTTGGATCAGCTAATAGCCTAATCCTACAAAAATAGAACTGGCAACTTCTCCAGTTGCTTTGACCATTGCTGCATTGACTGATGTTCAACTTGCTGGTGATTCGGATGTTTGTTTCGTATCCTCAGAATTAGATTTCGCTAGGCTTGGGGGTTTTTTCTAAAGTCTTAAGAATTATACATTCTTAATTTTGATATTTTTCACGATGGTCAGTCTGTCTCTATCGTTCATTTCTGTCTTATCCTTTGTTCTTGGACTGAGAAATGCCGGGGCATAACATTTCCCTTTTTTAGTCTGTATACTTCTTCGATTGATTTTTTAGCGAATTACGCATATTGTTCTTAACAGCGCTTAATACGTTTAAAAATTATCTCACAAAAACAGTTTTAGGAGTGGTGTTCCGGCTGATGCTCCTGAATACGTTGAAGTTCTTCGAAGCATGCTTAACATTATGTCAGTGGGTGACGGATGTTGTGCTCTGCTTGCTGTTTTCGCTTTCCAGAATAACTTTAAGCATTTGCTTCAAACATTCAATGCGAAAAAACTAGTTCCATCATCCGAGATGCATGGCGAGGACGAATGCAAAACGCGCTTCCGACAAACCGCAAATTACGGATATCTTTGTGAAATTTTGTTTTCGCTGGCGCGAAATCAATCGAACGGGACATTCTGGCGGACCGGCGGTCCAGCGATTAATAAATTAATTGATAGCAATTTGATCTCGGCAGCAACATCGCTGAAACAGTGGCTGGAGCCATGCCGCGAAGAAATGGCGCTCGGCACGAGCATTAGCAATGTGATTTTTCTCGTTTCCAGGTTTGAAATTGTTACAAATCAACAGACCTTCTATGCGTTTTTCGAAATTAAATGTTAATTGACACTGTTGTAGCCCATTAACATCTACTTAGACGGGGAACATCATACTATGATTTCAGCGTTCTAGCATCACAGGTCTGCGAGTTTGGAATTTTGCCTAAAAAATTTTGGCAGGCCATTGCGCGCTTATCGCGCTTTCCCGGAGGAAGGGCTTCAGTGCTCCCAGCTAACTTCTAAACGACTTTCAGTGGATAGGGGGGGG